AATTTGCAAAGTTCGAAACTTAAATATCAATACAAATACGAAAAGTACAAATAGAATATGAGTTGTTTATCGAGTTTTGAAAATTCGACAGTGCTATACTGAAAAATATTTTTAATGAAGATATTTCTTTAGGCTGCTTGGTTAGATTGCTTTCTTTAGACGAGAAATCAAACCTATCTCATGATTTTGGAATCATTTGATCCCAAGTTTTAAATAAGGTGGTATACAGACATTTACTTATCTGTCTTATAACATTTTATATTGCTAAAAAGTTTTTCGCTAAAAGCAATTTCCTCCCTCTCGCCACTAAAACTGCGCTGGCACAAGCTCTCCTTCTCCCTATTTTGGATTACGCAGACGTTAGCTATCTTGACCTTACTGAGGAGCAACTTAACAAACTTGAGCGGTTACAAAACTTCTGTATCAGATTCATATTTGGTTTACGCAAATATGATCATGTATCCGATTTCCGTGCAAAAGTGGCACCCGATTCGTCTTCGCCGGAATGCGCATATTGTTTCCCTTCTTTACAGTATTTTGTTTAATCCACTTTCGCCATCTTATCTTAAGGAACGTTTTAATTTCCTTCATAATACCCACACTCGAGTTTTGAGATCATCAGAGAACTTAAAATTGGAGACACCGATGCATTTCACGAAATTTCTTAACAAATCTTTTATAGTTCAGGCTGCACGTCTCTGGAATGCATTGCCCGAAAATATAAGACGTGCGCAAACGGTAGATAGATTCAAAAATCTAGTAAAGGAGCACTATCTGTCATTATGACCTTTTACACTATATACCTATATATATTTATTGTTATAGTATGTTTGATAATTATCTATGTATGTTTATATCATGTACATTTAAGACACCATAGACTACCTAATTATTGATTTAAATTAAAATTTTCCAAAGTAACGGTTGCCTGGAAGAAATTGCTTCTTAGCGATAAGGCCGCCGATTGTACTATTTGTCCTATATTATTGTTACCTATTTTATTTATTGGTGTTTTTGTACAATAAAGAATTATTCTATTCTATTCTAAAAAGTTTAAGAAAAGTAATCAAAACTTTTAACTTGAATAGAGAACTTCTTTTTTATGTAAAAAGTGTATATCTAATTTTATGTGTTTTAAAATAATGAGATACCGAAAATGGTTCATATACCAGTAGAAATAATAATATTGATGAAAATGCCTAATAAACTACGAAGTTTTATTCGACATGTAAATTGTTTCAGTTAACTAATTTGGTATTCATGTTAAATGTGTCATTTGGCATAGGAGTAAATGCTGTTGCGCGTGGGTAGGTGGTTCAAGCGCGTGGGAAAACAGGCCAATTATGATCTGCTTTGCGTAAACCAAATGGGACAATTAAAAAAATACTCAAGCTTCTTGGTTTATGTTGGGTAATAAATGTAATAGCAATTAAGTAGTTGACATAGTAAAATATTAATAATATAAATGACATCTGTTGCCCTTTATAGTATCTCCTCATTTATTTTAAGTTCGGCCAGAAGTAGTATATCAAAAGTCAAAATAATTTCTTAGTGAATCTTTACGTCGAATGAGCTATTAGTGTTCCTCTCCACTCGATCTGCCCAATAGTTTGAACTGTGCGTTTTTAGTGTTTTGATTAACAAACTATAATTACTGTTACCCCTCAATCTCATCGCTTTATTACAAGCCTTGTTTCTATGTTTGTTAGTGCGCAAATCTTGGCACTTAAATTTGACCCACTTCCTAATGTTACTTCCAAAATTTTAATAGTATCCCAAGGAACTTAGATTATAGTCCCCAAAGACATTCGTCAAAGCTATTATATTCTGGAACTCTTCGCCTGCGGTTATTAGATGCGCGCAATCTGGGGATTTTTTTATGAAACAAGAAGAACCATTTGTGTCTCCGTCACTGTTAATTGTTTTTCTTTTTTATGATCAGTAATATTTACTTTATGCGCTAATCCGCAGTATTTTTTCGTAGTTGGTTTAGTTTACATTACCCAAAGGTGGCCTGGTAGAAATTGAAATTGCAATAAGGCCGCATATTGCTTATATATTATATTTGTTTGTTGTTAGTGTAGAAGCCGAGGAATGCCACCTTTCATGATCTAATCAATCATGTGCTCTTACAAGGTGATATCAGAAGCCATCATACATGTTATTTTGGTAATGTCGTTACTTTTGATAAAGAGCTAATAAGCTTCTTCCGCTTATTCTTGTAAGCCAAAAGATTATGGGGAAAAATTTGACAATTCAAAAGAACTTGTAATGAAAAAAATTTAATAAACGATTTTTTAATTTTGGTGGCAACCTGTTTAATAGTTTGTTACTTTATTAGTTTCATAATTTTTTGTCTAAGAACACTTTAAATGCGATTTAAAATCAATCTAAAAATTCTATTTAGAATTTTTGCGATTTCTTTCTATCGAGCTAAACTCCCGGCAGAATCATTAAGGTGAGAGCAATAAAATTAAGGTAAAATTTTACTAAGGTACTAAGAATGTAGGTTATGCACATTAGATTACAAAGAACGATAAGCTCCGCTTTATTTCGACTACAGTATTAATAAATTTAACACGAAATAACGTTTGGAAGATAAATGTCTATGATAAAGTGTTATATAACAGAGTTACAAATTCTACATTCTCCTTGAGGTGATTAATGTTTAAAAAATTGTAAGTCAACAAAGGGTTGATGAATCATACTCTTGTAATGGCTTTCTTGACCACAAAATATTTCTTTGGAATATCAATGGGATGAATCAGGAATCGAAGTATGCATGGGAATGTGTAGTTTTTTAAAACCACGGTGATTCTTTTTTTATCTATGACTAAAGAAATTAAGAATTCATAGTAATTGGACAAGTAACTTAATAAGCCTTGTTATTTTCAATAGTTAAGTAGGTAATTAATAATTGAAGTTACTAGATTTTTACCAGATATTGTCACCGAAGGTAAAGGTAGCAACTACTCGGATACAAGCTGATATGACTGTGGAATTATTTATGAAACAATTTCAATTGTGGTAACATAAATCCTTACCTGCAATCCGATATATTCCACGAAACTCATTTACATTTTTTTATTTTCCTTTTGCTACATCGACTTTTTCTTTGGCGCCCTAACGTGGTATTTGTGATGTTTAAAATTATTTAGTTATTAAAACTTTATATTGCTTTAAAGTATATCTAACTTTTTATTTTATGTATATAATTTAAAATTAGATTATTGAAAACAGTCAAAAAATATTATTCTAAAGCAAATGGTTTAGAAAAAATAAAATAAAAACAAGGCGGAACGTATTATAGAACGTAAATATGATAGCATTGTGAATACAAAATTAATTAAAAACAATATAACATCTATTGCAACGTCTATAATGAGCGTAGAATTCTCGAAGGTTTAATTGGCTGACGAGTAAGAGCGGTAATTGCATTGGCGTTATCGATTGCACATAAGAACACTTTCTTTTCGCTTGATATATAGACGATGAAGTTTATTAACTCTTTGGATTTTTTATTATTGAGTTCGTAGTTGAGAAACTGGGAGTAGGTACGTTATTTTAGTTTGCAATTATTCGCCTATTTGGCTATAGAAAAGCGATTCAAGTAGCAGACGGACCATGTGTAAGTACAATGACCAGGTTGAAGAACTGGTTGTTGTGGCAAGGTGGGGTTTTATAGGGGCTCCCTTTCTTATATGAGATTTCTTCAATACAAGCATATGCATTGCTCACTGACAGGAAACACCTGGACGTTTAAATATTGTCCTATTTTGCTGGTTCAAACTAAATTCTTACTTTAGTATTCGAGAGATAGGTCCACTCATCTTTATATCATTCTCAAGTACGTGTCATGAATTCATTGTTTTTTGCGATACCCATATTTATCTAGAGAAATCTTTTAATGGGCGTCGTTCTACCTGTTCGGTACGCTGCATTCTGGATTGTAAGTCTTTTGTTGCCGCTGTAACCGAAGCTTGGGCACAAGGCCGAGCAGGTAGCTAAGATTAACCTCCATTGACCTCCTTTATTATGCCAAGTTAAATTGCAAAATTTTTAATGATAGTATACGACCCAATACTTTAGGTTGTTTATGTGTACAGCACACATCGATGAAAAGGTACATGAAAATAAGCAAAAACAATTGAATGTGCTGTTATTGAGTATCTATTCACCGTATCTAGCCTTGTATTCAACGGGTGAGAGGCTCAATTCACAATCGAACCATTCAATAATAGTTTTATGATGTATTTGTCCATCTATTGATAGTTCGTAACTACCGATGAGCCTGATATGTTTCTTCGAATAACTATTGTTTTTTTCACAAATCTTGAGTGGGTCTCTCATAAATCATTGGGTGGGTATAGTTTTTGCAGTATCTCTATAAAGTGTTATTTTTATGTTGTTTATAAAATGACCAGTGTTATGTCATCAGTCATCATTGAAAGCTTTACTTTCGTTTTGTTAATAGTTGCTCTTGATTTGGGGGCAATTCGCGACGGTCAGAGTTGGCAGTTGGCCTAGAATGTCAGGATTACTTTGGTTGACCCTGTCTATTGTAATGGCAACAGAAAGTGGGAATAAAAACGTTTGATTTGGAGTTGAGATCGTTGCGGGTCATAATATTAGAGTGATTTATAGCTTGATGGATTGGTATAAAACACGACTGTGTTTGTGATCTTTGGGCAATATAAAAGTCGATATTTCTTTATACTTATCTTCTCTAATAAGATATTAAATAAAATAGGTTTTACTATGGGTAACGTTTATAAAGATAAAACATTTCGTAATAAGTTATCAGTGTTTTGCTTTATCATCATGATTTATTATATTATGCACGTTACGCATTTTGAAATATCTTTGTAATGAGCACTATTTCATTTTAGATTATAATCTTATCAAATCTTGTCACTTATTATAACTTAAGTTCTTAGTTAGTACGTGTAATTTTTAAATAATATTTATTATCACTGTGATTTCCTTCATATTAGATAAACTAATAAATAAATGATAGAAGCAATAACATGCACAGGTGTATTGAAACTCACGCAATTGAATGACAATTTCCAGATATCCCGGTACACATCCAATCAATATGCAACGGAGTCACAAACCGCACAGCAAGAGCACTTGACTGCTTCCAACCGGGCATCCACTCTGCTATCGATTTGCATACTTTCTTTACAAACAATCACTTGCGAGTCCAACGTTCGATAATAAACCCAAACTGTCCAGAATGAATGATCCGATAAAGAGTTTCACTCGTCAATAAGCCACCTATTTCAGCATGCAATGTGTATAGATAACACTTTATTGTCACTAAATTACGTTTAATCACTACAAATATAACGTTAGGCTTTCCATAGGCCGCAATATTTTCCAAACTTTATATCGATTCGCATCGGCTAAAATAAAACAATGGGTATTTGTATAAAAACAATGAAACGCGAGGCGCGCACCACACGTGCCGCCCCGCCCGCGGCCGTATCCAGACTGAAACGGTGACGATCGACTCGGGGTACCTACGTAAAGATCGCACTTGCTGCATTCGTACGATGTTCTGTGTGTTTGATGATTCGTTCGCAACGTGAGAGCTGTGTGGAGTGTTTTTATTTTGAAACCACACTGTATGTCACTAGTACGCGTATGGTTTACAGTTCAGAATTTTATCAACAAAATGATACGCATTCTTATTCTGTGGTAGCTAACGTTATTTTACAAATGTACTGCTAGTATCAACTTGACGTTGGGTGTACCATTCATATTTAAGTAGATTTGCATTCGTACTGCGCTCTAGATTTGAGTACCTCTTATACCTGTAAGTAGGGAGTAATTTATTGAAACGGCAACTGTAGCATATCTTATTTTTGGAATATTTCAAAAGTTACATTGAGCGAAAATTTTTGTAGAGACAGTTTTGTGACTGTCTTAAAGTCATGATAAGAATAATGAAATATAAAAATAAACTTACTCGTGATCAGTAGCTACTTTCTCTTGATCTTAAAATATGATTACAAATATGGACATGACATAGTTAAATAGTTTTTGAATTTTTTTTTTATATTATCTGCCGGATAATTACTTTCTGATTGAAAGTAAGTGTATATTACTTAGTAAAGAAAGGAAATTTAGAAAAAAAAAAACAGTAATGTCCAAACTTTTGAATCTAGGTACCTATTAAGAGGTGCATTATGATGTATGATGATCCATACTTACGTATGCTGTGACTATACAAGCGGTCAGCAAGAAAAATAATTCGTGAAGATAGTGTAAATGGTTTTTATTATATAAAATTTATATTGAAATTCTTTCTGATATTTTTTGTTGACATTATGAAAATTTATTTAATACGAGCCTGCAGTTTATAGTATTCATCTATCGCAGTCTTTATTACATTTAATACTGTGAGAGCGCTATTAACATTGCTTTGGTCTACATACATGTTACATTAAAAGTCAGTCTAAAACTTATGTGATATTTCACATTAATGATTTCTCTTCATTTTGTTTTCATTTGTAACAATAGCTGGTGGGAAAGAATGGCTGACAGCACTTATAATTAAATGTATGGAAAAATTTGTTACCTGTACATGCAGGTATTATATTTGTTTATGTTCTGATAACAGTGAATGAAAGTATCAAAAATACACTCGATTTTTTTATAGCAAATTGTGATTTTAATCTGCTTTACATACTTCTATAGACATTTTCAACCGTTCTGTTTGATATTTCGATAAATTTAAAGCTTTCATAATCGATATGCTCTTCAGGAAGATCTTATGTTAGAAAAAGAGGAAATAGTTCCAAAAGTTGACAAAAATCCTTATGAAAATTGCGTATGAGACTTTTATATTTTTATTTGCCTATACATTTATATCATATATTTTCGATAAAATTACCGAGGGATCCGGTATGTCATAAATAAAATGTTATATTATGGATTTAGCAGACATTTAACGACATGAAACGGCATTTTTTTGTAAAAATAGAAATAGATAGATTTTTTTTAAAGTAGAGGACAAATATGTAGTTAGAATATTACGTTCCTTCTACTATATAACCTGCTCCTTGTTGTTGAAATAAAATATGGAACGTCGAAAATTTTAGCCCAATAAGGCTATTAAAGAATTGACGTCAGAAAAAATAATCATAGACTTTAGAAAATTTGCCCGGTGAACTAGTAGCTAGTAAGGAATAAATAAATATGAGTCTGGTACGTCTCTTATATAAAAGGGGGGAAGTAGGTATACTGTTGCATGTATTTTAGTTTTCCCTAGCAGGCGAGCGACCATTAAACTCTTTAGCCTTCTAGCCATAGGATACGACGTGTTGTGTTCTGACAATATTTCATGTTGCTACTTTGACGTCTTTTGGTTGATAAATTTGGATAAATAATTAAATTTATAAACACTGTTATTTATCGTTCGTTCGTCGTTACTAAAGTACGTTCAATGTAGTAAAATGATACGAAATATCTCCATAACGTTGGTAAGATGTCGTATCCTATGGAATCATGGTTGTCAGCTCAAGCACTTAGGCAATTCTGCAACGCTATTCTTCTAAAAAGTAATTAAAGGTTTTATTTAATTTTGGCATGGAGGCTAAATTAAGTACTGTTTTCGATGTTGCATTCTTCTAAATAATAATAAAGCAGTACTGAGATCGTTTTTGTCACCTAGTTTTAAATTTACTGTCAGTGTTTAGGCATGTTTTAAAGCGGTACGTCTCATTAATTTGGAACTTATATCTCCAACGGTAATTGTCATTATACCATCTAAAATGAGGTTTCAATTAACTTTAATCATTAGGCAATCCTGTATGACCTTAGCCTTGCTATTACGAACACGAATTGTTAGTTGCTATTTCCATGTAAATATTTCCAAAAGATAATTAACGTAATCGGTCAGCTAGTCCTGGTAGTTTTAACGATGTAGAGATATAGAGCCAGGACTACTATAATAATATGATGATAAATGTTAGTATTTGAAAAATCAATATAAAAGCAAAAAACATAAGCTAGTACCCAATACGAAACGCTCTAATTTAAAAGGCTATCCATAAGGTTTATCAATGGGAACTGAGGAGAGGAAATGTAATGGCATTGATAAATCGGCTTTCAAGGTTAAGATACCCATTTATTACTCAGACTGCGACATTTTGAATAATCACTGGTACTTTTTCAAATGTCACTCCGTCTAACCCCTTGGAAGATTAGTGTGTGTGTATATGAAGGTTTAATGTTGTCTGAATTATTTGTTTATGGAATATTTTGCTGGGTGTAAGTACAGTTTTTTCTTATTTATTATTAGATATTTTTCCGCAACGTCGCCCGCGTAAATAGAGATTTTTTTTAATCCGTCTATCAGTTAAAAAAAAATCTCATTTTCCTTCTTGATATTATGTGGACTGTATAGTTGGTGTAGTAACAGATTTGATTGTTTCTTTCATTGACTTGACCGATTTAAAAAAATCTACAACACACGAGAGTGGAATAGGCTATAATTTACGCAGGTGAAGAAGCGGAAAACAGCTAAGAGTTTTAGTTAATTAGTATTCTGGTTTAGCTGAAGATAGACACGGAGAAGAATTTGAAATAAATGGTTACATTTATTAACTTTTGTGTCGACACCGAACAAGGACACTTTAATAATCTGTGGGCCGTTCCGCAAAAGTCCTTTAACGTTAAAACGTTGTTAGATAAGATTTGTGGGTCTTAATCACGGGATCCCGTGACTATAGAATACATAGTCAGAATCTAGAAGGTATATCTCATTCATCGAACATATTTTCGGTAAATTTCCTCTCTATATTTTATTAGTAAGTAGTGGTTTGTAATGTGCTTGGAAGTGTATTTTATCAACTGTGAAATATTATTGATAATAAATAAATAAAAAAAGTAATAAATAAGAAATAAAAACTCAAGGTTGCGGCTCGGTTCGTAAAGTTAGTTTATCTTGCAAATCTAATAAAAGCTAATATAATTGGTGTGAATTGGTTGGACATTATGAATCGGTACCGAAACAAACACTTGTTTGTTAACACTTCTACGTTTTAATCTTTATTCATTTGTTTTAGCAATATTTTACAATAACTTTGACAATAATTTTATTATTTGTGTGAAATAAGTAGTTTGCCTTCTGTTTTCTACGTATACTATTACTCCCGGGACCACCCAAGAAGGGTGGCTATTAGACCATCCTAATGTTCAATTATAAGGCATTACGAGGCTCCAGGTATATTACAGTGATTACAATACTGTAATTTGTACTCCAACGTTATTCAAACAAATTTGTTTTTGTTTTTCATGGACTTAAAATCGAAAAGAGGAGGACAGAGGGTGTTCGATGCGAATGTTTTTTTAAAAATGTATATTCATTGGTTTGTTCGCGAATTATAGACCTATTTTAAAAGTTTTTATAACAAAACTATTACTGGAAGAGTTTAGCTATAATACCTAATACAGTTCAAAGGAAAACTATTAAGTTAGCTTTACAAGTTCATGAGTAATAGTCGACCGATAGTATTTAACTAGAAAATTTTGAACAACTCCTATGAAAATAACAAACGTGATATTCTACGTTTTTTATGTATAATGGTACGGAATCCTTCGAGTTTGAGTCTGCTTACTCTCGGACGTAAGATCAGTTTTAGATATATAATTAGAACGATCGATATAAGTGTATAGACCCTTTTCAATATAATCATTATAGATTACCAAAAAGATTCATAGATTATTAAGGAAACATACAAAAAAATTGTCGTATTGAAAAAGACTATCTTTTTCGTGTCGGTCAAAATAAACAATGTGCCGAAGAAAGTAAGTTTAGCCAGTTGCGGTGAAAGATCTTATTACCAATATTTCTCGTATTAGCTTTCCTCAAACAAGTTCAAAACAACAAAGCGAACACGTTTAACTTGACTTTCACCAAGTGATTAAAATATTGCTTTGTTCATTAGCGAACATTACCACACAGTCAATACTTTTGGGTAATTTTCCCTCATTGGCCGTCCGCCCTCACATACCCGAAACCCTTTGTTGTTACCTTTGTAACTATGGGTACTGAATATTTTCCCCTAGGTCGAAGTACTCGTGTTAGGAAGTGTCTCATGGACTTGCTTAACAACATACGATTTCGTCGTGCGATGAAAGTTTACGCTGTATTGCAATAACTGATTGAACGATTAACATCGCTCTTTCCTGTGATGTTTAAACACACTTGTTGAGGCCCGGACTATAGGGCCCTTCGCCGCATGAAATCTTATCATAAAAAAAAATATCGCAACTTTTTTGCGGTTCATTTTCGTATCGCTCTAATTCGCTGTTTTGTTTATGTTGCTCACTACGCGATGCTTTAACTCACGACTCGCGACTATAATCGCAAGATCGTGCGTGACTATTAGGTCCAATTATGCGTTCTAATTATAAGAATTTAAAGATATTTGTGTGTTTTGTCTTGTCGTACGACG